CATGACTTTTTCTTTTTGTTGGATTCTCCCTCTTTGCATTTAATTTGTCATGCCCAATGGATTCATTCTGCTGGATGTACATGATATATCTTGATTCTTATTTTTTCCCCATTTCCCTGCCCTGCCTTCAATCCCTCTCTTTTTATTTTGTGTCCTTAACTAAAGAGGGAGAAAGAATATAGATTAACTGATTATATCACTCAAACTATAATGACATATAATTACAGAAATAATTTTATATTAATAGTAATATGAAATTCAAAATCCTAATGAATTACATCTTTTTCTTAACATTATCAATATTAAATGTTGTAATCATTGAAATTTTTATCAAATATTATTTATATTTGTAATGATGCCTATTTAAGTTGAGCATTGTTTTTTCACCTTTGTATTTCTCCATTCCCCAATTCTTGCTACAAAATAAATGTATTTCATATGGACTTCAGATGTGAAAGATAAATGGTCATCTTTATAAGCAAAGAGCTTTGTAATGTAAATTGCAAAACCAAGCACTGAACTGTAAGTTCTTACCATAGCAATCACTGCTGCTCCAGCTCCAGCAAGCGCCACAATAAACAAGTGGAAGGTCATGTTTAGCTGTAATGAAAACCACAGGAACCAAAATATGTCAGTTACCCATAGAAGAGAACTGTTACTGTACATTGTTGACAAATGTGAGCTTTGGATAAATCATGTATTCAATCACAAGACATTATTGCTATATCTTTTCTCCTGCAAATAGCCTTACAACTGCATTGACTTTATAATTTCATTATGAGGATGAAATTGAGATTGATAATGGTGATTTTCTGAAACACTGCAGCAATATAAGGCTGTGCTATCTATAATTTTCCATCATTAAAATGGATTCCAGAACATCTGAAATATTTATAAATTACACTGAAATATGTAGAGCATCACCTTCATATTTGTTCTACACATCCCCTCCATAGCACCCTTGCAGGAGAAATTATCTCTAAAGGTAAAAAGGGAAAGTTCAACATAATTTTAATTATTTTATATTCTGCAAATAACAAAATGAATGCTACACTTCTGACAAAATTGAAGAGTGCAAGGACACTCACCTCAGTAGATTCACACATCCTCAGGAAGTTCTCAGAGACAGTGCAAATTTTCTTTTCCTCTCCAATTGTCACAATGCCTACAACATGTACAAGATTACAAGTTACATTATAAATGTTTTTAAGTTTCCAGAGATAAAAATATGTTTGGCTGACCTAACCTCAGCAAGTTTCTTTCTATGTTAGGTTATAATGAAAAACTTCTTCTTTAGCTTGTATTGTGGACAATAATTGTGCATATAATTATGATTACAAGATGTAAAACCAGCCCTCAAGCAATTTAAAATATTTTAAATCTGACTTCAACTGAATCTAGCCACCAGAATTTTCAGATTTTGTAGTTTCTTCAATGGTTTGGCCTCTAATTGTGATGGTATAGGCATCATAATTATTTTGATAACTATGCCCTCGACTCTGCTGAAGTCAGAATCAAAAGTTCCACTGGCGCAATGCTTTCATCAGTCTATGAAGGTGTATTGCCTACAGAGGTATTTCTTCTGCTGCTAATATTGAAAACAAAGCTATTATCTGGGAGAATTGAAAGTTTCCATCTCACTCCTTGTATTGACCCTAACTCCAGTTAGTTTATGGACCAATTACATCACAGTCATCTGGGAGACTCTCATATACATGTATTGCTAGACTGCAGTACAGAGCCGTCAGGTGGAATGTGCACAGGTTAACCTTGGGGTATTGCATTTTTAAATCACACAGGTGGCCCTTCACAGCTCTAGAACTCCTTTTAAATGACAGGAATAATCATGCTCATTCTACATGGCTCCTGAATTTTGTTTGGATAGTTGTTGAATTACTAAACACGTATGTACACACACACACACACACACACAACATCACAAGTTCTGGGAATACTAATATCTAATCTTTCGGCACTGTGGTGGTCTTCATTTAGTTTTAGTGTGCATATATATTTATGCATTCTTAACTTAAAGGTGTATCACGAACTCTGCCTCTCTTACAGTGCTACTGCCATTAATTTCTGCTTTGTGCATAGTGTGGACTCTGTTTCAGTTTCAGAGATAAAGAAAAAATAACCTGCTTGCAGTATAACAACTGCAGAGAATTATCTGTGAAGGCTTTCTTTTCTGCAAGATGGGTGGGTATAAGAGGAAAAAGATAGTACTCTCCCATATGATTTCTCTAATGAACTTCCAGTATTAAGAAAGCTTTATCATCAGGGCTCTCTTTCTTCATACCGATCCATTACAGGTTTTACTCAAATTAGATAGATAGATAGATAGATAGATAGACAGACTTATGTATATATATTCTTATATAGATATATAGATAGATTCTTATATAGATATATAGATGTATTCTGTGCATACATTTCCTCATCCTCTCCTCGACTCACATTTGCAGCCAAATTCCTAAAAAGTGTTGCCTGCACTCACAGTTTGCATTTCCTTTCCATTTATACTCTCTCAAATCATGTTTCCCCAACACACCATGAAAATTGTCTTGCAAAGGTCACCAATAACCCCCAAGGGGCAATTATTAGTTCTCATTTTCTTTCCAGTCAGTAGTATTAGAGGCAGAGGATCATACCCTTTACATTCATACCCTCTTACTAGGCACTACATTCTTCTGTTTCTGTCTCTCTATTCTCGTTGGCTCCTCCTTCTCAATATCATTGTCCAGCCAGTTATCTTTTTCTATGACCTTCTAAGTTGGAGCATTTAGTCTTCACCCATCTTTCTCCCTCACTGATCTCAGCTAGTCTCAGAAATTTTAATATTATCACTAACTCTTTTATCTTTGCCTCTATCCCATACATCTTTCCAGAAAACAGGATTTATGTATCTAATTTCTTACCTAACAACTTTATTTGGATTTCTAACAAGAATCTAAAAATTGGTATCTTCAGAATTTGACTTCTGATATTATTATTTGCCTGCCCCATTTCCAAGCAAATTTTATCATAGCCTTTGCCATCTGTAATATAAATCAGTCTTCTCAATTGCTTAGCCAAATAATAGTTCCTATTTAAATACTTTATTTTCAAATTCCTCATGCAATCTACCAACAAATTCTGCCATTTCTGTTCTCCAAATTAATCCACAATCAAGCCACTTTTCCCTACCTCCCTTTCTACTCTTCTGATTGAGGTCACCAGTATCTCACAACCAGATTACTGCAATAGTTTGCTAATGGTATCCAGCTTCTACCCCTTTTAGTTGTTCTCCACAGAACAGCCAGAGTGATCCTTTCATAAGTCAGATAATGCCCCCTCTTCCAAAATCCTGCCATGACTCTACTTCCCTTAGAATAAAAGTCCCAAATTTATAATGTCCTATAATACACTGATGATTACATGTGCTCTGACCTCTGATCCTTCATCTTAATCTATGCTCTCTATCTTTGTTGTTGTTATGTATTATTATCTGAGTACTCAGATTGATCCTAGGGCCTTTATACTGAGCTACATCCCCACATTCCAGGCCTTTCTTCCTTTCTTTCCTTCCTTCTTTCTGTCTCTCCTTCACTTCCTCTTTTTCTTTTTTCCTTTCTTTCTTCATGAACTTCAGTGAAAATCCAAAAACATAATTATAGTCATTCATGTGTATCTATTCAATGGCCAATGTGTATTTCTCATTAGTCATTCATGTGTCTACTGAATGGCCAAATTGGCCTAACCAAAAGTTCAGTAAATTATTCAGATTTATATAATTTTTTCTTAATACAATGACTTAATATATCCATTTACTCTCCATAGAAAAAATTTTAGTTAATATAAATGGATCAACATTTTCAGTTTCTTTAGAAAGCAATAGGAGAAAAGACAAGAAATGAAAAATGAGAAATGAGAAATAATTGGGCAAGAGAAGCATTAATAACTCAAGGCAAGGGAAGTGAGGAGAGAGAGTAGTGAGTACTATGTGCCTTAGATCAGCAGCACAGGCTACCCTATACTCTCTTGTAGTTTACAGCTTTGGTAATCTGGAACACTATATTTCCAGTACTGTTAGAATTGGTTGTGCCTGCAATATGAAAAACTTCATAGAAAGTTATATATATTAAGTCTGAATAGTTACTATTACCTTTACCAATAAGGTACTTACAACTTTTTGGTGGTTACTGGACAAATGAAGCAACATCCCTAGAGATGAATATTCTCATCAAGGAAATTGTGACAGTTGGAAGTAGAATGAATAGATTTTTATGACACACTTCCCTTACAGGGTGATAGGAAACTGACTCCCTACTATGAAATATAAATGTTTATATTCAAAATAATTTATGATTTATAGTGCTAGTTTTAAAGAGAAGAGAATAACTAGAATATCCTTTACAACCTTCTGGAGATTTCTCACATTCCTTATTTCTTAAGACTTTTTCTCTTTGTTTAAATCCAGCAACATAGGATATTTCTATATTTATTTTCCATAGTTCATCTCACTCTACTGACTTCTCTTGCGACTCTTTCTTCCATTGTTAAAGGACTATTGCAATTATTTTGGAACCACCTGGACAATAAAGGCAAATTATTTTATTTTTCAGTTGATTAGGAACCTTAGTCCCATGTATAGCTTAATTTCCCATCGACATGTTCCCTAACATGAGGATACTAATAAAGAGGAATAACCTACTAGGCAGCCAAGATTTTACCAAAAAAAATCTTCAATTACTTAGCATATATGAATATAATTCAGTAATTAGTAATCACAAGTAGGTAAACCTATAAAGGATTTCTTATTAACACTATGTGTATTTAGTTTCTATTGAAATATAAAAAGTCCATTTGAATGAAACAGATGGAGGGAAAAGGATTGCTTATTCCAAGTCTTTGTCTTCTGTAGAAAAAGCATCATGAACCATGAGCATAACCTGTTATTCAAAATTTATGTTTTGCCAAGGATATATTTTTCTTTCAAAATTTCAATGCTTTGTCATGACAGATGTTCGTTAAACAATTGTCGACCTAAAATCCTTTTGAGGAGTATTGCAGAGAAATTGGATTCAAGTTCTCTGAGTTTAAGGATGGGCTGGAGAAGAGAGGAGGAGGTGGTAGAAAGCCTAAAGCAAGCCCCACCTACTTTGGAGCACTTTCTCTACATGTCTGATCCAGAGGGACTTTCATCAAAACTTTATGTTTTAATGGAGCACAGTTGAAATATTGGATCTAGGAGATACGTTGAGAATGATTTTTAACATTTGATAATATAACTTTACTAAGATAAACACATAGTATATCCAATATCATCACATCATATAGTAGGAGAATAAAAAAACATAATAAAAATATTACAGTGAAATCTTAATTCTATTTGTAGGGTTAATTCCTTTTTGACATGTAACCTCACACATTCTAGGATCTAGGAGTTAGGATGTGTATTGTCTTGAGGGTCATTATTTTGCCCATCAAATATAATAACAGCTTAATTAATATTATAATTTGAAGTATCTTTCAGTTTAAAATTTTATTTAGACATTTGTACAGAAAAGAGTTACACCGAGATTCTGTACACTCACCTTTCCATCCCAGCTAGTTAGCTATATCCCTGCAAAATTATTTCATCTCTTAGAACTCCATTTCTTTTAGACCAAAGATATAGATGGTGATTAATGAAGTCACTTATAAAATTCTATGACTCTAGGACATAGTCTATGCTTAATGTCACTTGGAAGCATAGATACTAAATATGAGCCTCATATATTAAGTTAGATTAATATGGATATTAAAAGTACGGGAATATATTGAAAATTAACACAAGGTTTTTGCAAAAAAATTACTTGAAAAATATTAGAAAGATAATCTACTCACCTTTTCTAGAAGATTATTTTCCCTGTCCTTTAGAAATCAAACTTGAGGAAAAGTTTTAAAGTATTTTGCTGGAGTTTCCCAATATTTTCAGTCTAAAATTTTGTTTTAATAGGACCAAAGATTTTGTAATCACCTACTTCACTACTTTTCACTTTCACTTTCCATACCATGAGAAGTGAAGCATATCCAATCAGAACCATGCTAACATATCTGTATTTTGAAAATACGACATTCACACACAAAAGATCCCAGCCTTCATTGTTTCCCATATTAGCAGATTTAACAATAAAAAGAACCTCTCTATACCTCAGCTAAATTTGAATTTCAGACAAAGAACAAATAATTTCATATAAGTATGTTCCATATAATACTTTTTTATAATGGGTCTAGCATTGAAAAAATATTGCTTGCTAATCTAAAGTTCAGATTTAATTGTAGGCCCTGCATTTTACCTGACAACCCCCAGAGGCAAGTTATATCACCTCCAATTTTAGGATAAGCACAATAGAATGAAGACATTGAAGGATAGAGCATGATGTCAGAGCCAGGTGTTTTAAGCTATTGTTCTGCAGTGACCTCCAGTGGCAGATCTGAGGTGACCTTTTCCTATGTTTGTAAGGCAACTGATTCTAGTAAAGCCTTTTAGTGGAAAAGAAAACTGTTAGCACTGCCTCTGGCCAAGGACTTTATGCACAAGGCACATCATTCTGCATTTCATTTGGTTCAGGGAGTCTGAGGACTTTACCTGACAGCATGTGCATGGTCCACTGTTTTTTGTTTGTTTGTTTTGTTTTTGATTAAATTCTTTTTTGGGTACATTTTAGGTATACAATACATTTACATTTATCATTGGGTGCTTATACCTTACATGATGTATCTTGATTCTTATTTTTTCCCCATTCCCTGTGCTCCCTTCCCCCACCTCGATGGTCCACTGTTTTAGTATACACTATTAGTTGGCTAGAGAAGAGCTGTACTGTAGTATAGGTATAGAGCCACAGACATAGACTCGACAGAGATATCTCTGTCTTTTTGGAGTATTGAGACAGATAAGAAGTGCAAGGCTTTCTCATTTTTCCTGTGCCGGCTAGAATGTGGACGTGGCTTGACCAGCAGCTAGCACACCTCTCTCCCTCTCCTCCTTTTGTTCTTCCTCACTCCACCTTTCAATGGACTGGGACAGCTTGCTTCAGTGTTTCCCATGTTATCTAGCAGTGTCCTCCCTGGCAATCAAATCATCAGTCTCCACTCCAACATTAGTGCAGCCAATCAGCCTGAGGTCGCTCCTCAGCTCCCACCTTGTCAGAAGATATTGGTGCCATGCTGAAGAAAGGATAGGGGCACTCTGAGAGCTAAGATCAGGAAGGGAGTGACCTGGGCCCCTTCTTTGGATACTTGACATGCATAGCAAGCTTTCAGCCCTGCCCCTCATTGAAACAGGCCTGCAACTGCTACATTAGCAGCATTCCCTAAACATTACTTGGATTTTAGTCTAGAAGGGTTCCCTCCTATGTACTGATCCCCTTGTGCAGGACAGGGCCTATTAAAATAAAGACTCACTTTGGTATTCCTGTAAATCTGCTCATGAATTATTTCCCAGGTAATGTGGGCTCCAAAAGTCCTATAAGCCTTTGGGGGTGAGGGTTAGCCTCAGTAGTGTGGGCAGAGCAGTCCTTTCCAAAGAAAGAGCGATGAACACTCAGTTGTTAACATTGAAGAGCCCCAGGGACCAACAACCAATGGACTAGTGGGAGAAACCAGGACCTGGTAGAGTTGACCTGTGGTGCTTGGTACAAGCCCGCACTGGATGGTGACAGCCAACAGCAGCAGTGACCAGCATTACCTGGTGTCACTAGGTGACATCAATACTGCTAGCAGAGCTGTACTTTGTTGACTCATGATTTCCATCTGAATTAAGCAAAACAATCCTAGGCTGATGGGCAACAGTATGAAGAAACTTCATTAGAGGAAAACTGCTTAGAGTGCCCGCAGATGTTAGGAAGCTGGCTTTTAGTATCTGTTCAGTGAAAAACCAACTACATTTGCAAATGTGAACTTGGAAAACTTTTATAAGTTCTGTAGCTCTCATACATTTACAAATGAGAAAATAGAATCTCAAACAGTTTTTACTGAGATTAGCCTCTAGTTTTCCACACTTCTGCATCAGACTTATTTCAATAGGACAAGCAGTTGACTCAGGAGTAAGAGCACAGACTAAGGACGGGCTTCCTGGATTTGGTCTGTCAGTAACAGCTGTGTAAATGTGGAGAAATCATTTGCCTCTCTGTACCTCAGTTTTAGCATCTATGAAGGATCAGTACTGCTCCCGCATATAGCACTGTGAGAATTAAACAATTTAAAATAGACAGAGTACTTAGAACTGAGTCTGTACATAGTGAGCCCATGTCTATATGAGGAATGACTATTGTTGCATGAGGCTGTAGCCCTAAATAAAAATACCCAAGAAGATATGCTAACTTACATAGCATTCTTTGACTTAACTTTTTTTTTCCTTAAATTCTTTTATTGGTACATTTTAGGTATACAATTAGTTTACACTTATCATTGGGTGCTTGTACCTGTACATGATGTATCTTGGTTCTTATTTTTCCGCCATTCCCTATGCTCCCTTCACCCCCTCCACCCTTTCCTATTTACAAAGACTTTGCTTCTATTTTTTTCCTTTTCTCATAATTTTTCCTTTCCCTTCTTTCCTTTCCCCTTTCCCGCCCATTTCCCCTACCCCTTTGGACCTTTTCTTCCTATTTCAAGTGATCAATTATTTGTTTTAACCATTTTAATTCTTATTTACACTTTCAGTTTCTCACACTAGAGAAACTATTCAGTATTTACACATGTGTGTCCTATTTATTTCACTTAAGAATATGGCCTCAATATGCACCCATTTTGCTATAAATGTCTCCAGTTTGTCATTCTTTATGGCTGAGTAGTACTCCATTTTATAAAAAGAAACACATCTTCTTTATTCAGTTTCCAGTTGATGACACTTGGGCTGCTTCCAAGCTTTAGCTATTACAAACTGTGCTCCTATAAACATGGGTGCACATACATTGCTGTGGTATGATTCTTTTAATTCTTTTGGGAAGATACCCAGCAGGGGAATAGCTGGGTCAAATGGGACCTCTAGTCCTAGTTCTTTGAGAAATCTCCCTACTGACTTCCACAGTGGTTGCATCAGTCTGCACTCCCACCAACAATGGAAAAGGGTTCCTTTCTCCCCACACCCTAGCCAATATTTGTTATTGTTTGATTTCTTGATAGCAGCCATTCCAGTGAGAGGTGGAATCTCAGTGTTGCTTTCATCTGCATCTCTTGAATGACCAGTGATGTTGAATATTTTTTCATATGTTTCTTTGCTGCTTTTACTTCCTTGACTTCATTGTCTTTAAAAGATAAATTTCTTAGCCACACACTACTATATTCTAGATGACAATGAAATACATCTTTCTTAGGTGATCCTAATAATAGACTTTACAGTTTGTGCTGTTTATATGGGAGAATGACAGTGGAATGCAGGCATCAGATTGAATTTCAAAGAGTATAGAAATCAGGGTAGGGAAGGGCCGGGGATTTAGCTCAGTGGTTTCACTGCCTGCTGCACAAGCCCAAGGATCCGAGTTCGATCCTTGGTACCCCCCCCAAAAAAAAAAGTTTGGGCCGGGGATTTAGCTCAGTGGTTCTGCCGCCTGCCTCACAAGCAGAAGGACCTGAGTTTGATCCCCAGTACCAAAAAAAAAAAAGAAATTTGGGTAGGGAAACCACAATTTTAACTTGCTAGTACCAGACAATACAATCTGACAGCCTGTTCATAAATGTATGTTGTGAGACCAACTTTTATTCGTTCTTGAATTCTTACTTATTTAAATCTAAAAAAGAGCATCTTAACAACAAGTAGTCCGATAAATTTATCTCTGTGGTAGAGGTAATGATGGTTGGAAGGTGATTTAAAGTATGTTAGAGATCTGGGCATGGTAACACATGCCTGTAATCCCAGCACTAAGGAGGCTGAGACAGGAGGATCACTGTGACTTCAAGGCCATCCTGAACTATACAGTAAGACCTTGTCTCAAAAACAAACAAAACAATAAAATATGTTCTTTGAAGACATTTAACTAAAACAATATGAGGTGATGTTATATGCTCAGAGGTTCAATATCGACCTACCAAACTGACGAAGGTCCAAGCAGAGATTTGCCCCCTCCACCAGGGTAGTATTCCGGCAGATGGTCCACACATTGAAGTACATGTAAACGGGCAGTGAGGTGAAAGCTGTGACTCCCAGCCAGGCCAACATGAAAAGGTACGTCAGCATAATAAACTGCACAGAGCACAAAGGGAGAGCAAAACATCATCTACCAGAGAAGAAAGTTTTGATCCATCAGCAAAGCTCAATACTGTCTATAAGGCTTTTTTAGTACATAATTGATTATCACAACAGTCTTAGGAACTGTAGTACAAAAAATTGAGAAACAGTGGGTTATGTGAATAAACCCACAAGAAAAGCTCATCTTGATAGAAATCGTGATGTACCTGAATTAATGCCTGTTTCATTTGTTTATGAACCTTAAGCCTCCACATTTTTTAAAAGTTTAGAAAATAGTAGCTGGCATATTTAGAGGGGATTCTGGAAAATGGAGAATTTTACTGAGAAAAAAATATAAAGAAGTAAAAATGTTGTGAAGAAATTTATATTAGTAACACTTTCTCCTTGTTTTATAGATCAAAAGAATAAAAGTATTCTGTGTGGAAATACATACAACATTGGGTCTTAAAACATACTTGATTGTGTGTAGTAAGCATTTTGCTTGTCTGTACCAAGAAATTGTCCAAGAGGACAATTTTTGTTGTGTGTACTTTCTTATTTCTCCTTCCTGGAATGAAGAAAATGAAGCAGATTTATAGATAAAACTCACTGAGCAATGTGGAAGCTAGCTTAGAATTACTCTGTTCTCAAAGCCTTCCCTATGCTACAATAAACTTCAAAGTATGGATAAGCATACTGCAAGTGATAATACCTACTCACCTTTAATAAACTATGTTCTATGATGCAAATAATTCTCATATTTTACCATGTGATTCTAATACATAAAGATAAAGATTTATTTATTTATTTTAAAAGCTTTGATGTGGCACTTACCGTGTCCCTTCCTAAATGTACATTTATTTCACCACAAAAAGTCTTGTACTGATTAAAGACATGACCTTTTCAACTGGCTGAGTGTAGGCTGTTCTTTAGGTCTCTACTATTGCCTTTGCAAAATGGAAATAACCGCTAAATTGACCTTACATGTTCCAATGAGGCTTAAATAAAATAATACATTTTTAAAAATTATTTAACATAGGAACCTGACACACAAAAAGCTTTGGCAAAATACTAGGTGTTTTCAGTCTTGCTAGATTTAATTTCAGGCTGGGAGAAATTTAAAGACTGAAGAGGTCTTGTATCTGGAAAATTTATTCAAAATATGCTCTCTCTCAAGATGAAAGAGCTTAGAAATTCTCGGAAACCATCCCTTATCTGAAGAACTTCTGTTAACAGAACTCCTTTGGGAGAAAATGTTTCTTTTATTAACATCTTCAGTTTTTGCAATTATAGATCTCAGGGGTAATGTATGGTCTGAAGAACAATGACATAATATGGCTTCCTAAAACACAGTTTTGTAGTAGTGAAAAACAACTCTAAAGTCCAAGGGGTAGTAATCAACATGCTTTGGGCCCAGCCTCTCTGCCTTGTTATTTTTTCTACCCTGGGGGATTTTTAAGTAGCTTCTTCTGAAGATGCTGTTCAATGTACAATGGGACTCTGAACCCTGTTGTTTTTGCTACTTCACAAGAAAAGAAAGTATGATTTTGGAAACCAGAGTACTGACTTATGTTTTCTTTCTTCTGTCAGTGTCGATGTTTTAGCAAATTAATAAAGCTGGGTGTTACAGAATAAATCATGGCTGTGAGAAAATATTTTATTTGGAGTAAATTATAAGGTTTGTGCCAAAGAAAATTAAAACAGATTTTCCTTTTGAATTTTGAGTGCAAACCAGTTTTATTTCAGGGAGAAGAAGTTCATAGTCATGAAAGCGTCTAAATTAAAGAACCCAAAAATACAGTTCTATCTATTTTCTATTTTATTTTATAATCAGATATTTACTAAAGGTGAAAAATTGTTCAAATTAATCATGCATAGTCCTATTTAGAAACTCTTTATATGCAATAAGTAAAATATTTCATAATTATAAATTTATTTTAGCCTTGCATTGCTGGTCATATTATAGATACATATTTTCTCATCTGAGTATCAATAAATTAGTAAGCTATGCTTCATTAGAAAACTTTTTAGAATATAGAAACTTTTTTCTGATTTTAAAAACACTTTGTACATAAAAAAATTATCTACAGAGTTACTAATCTCTATTTTAGAAAAAATAATTCTGAAGTTGAACTCTAATATTTGTTTGGGGAGCACAGTGGGGAAAAAATAATAGAAAGGAATTACAAAAATATTGTGGAACTTGAAATCAGATGACCTAGCCAGAATTTTATGAAATATGACTTAACCCTTCTTAGCCACTCCATCACCTGTAAACTAGAAGCTAGAAAACCTCTCTCACCTAGCTATGAATGTTAATAAAAGTGACTATCCTATATAAATTCACTTAGCAGTAAGCATGATCTACAGTAAGCACAATGCAAAGAGGTTGTTTCATTTAGCACAAACTAATTATTTTGTACTTTAAAAGGTTATAAGTGGACAGGAAGGAAACTGTTTTCTGTGTCACTGGGTGTTTATTACTTTGAATAAACCCTGGATTTTAATGTGCAGTAGTTCCAGGAAGGAAGCATGGTATTGTTGAAGTTATAAAGCAGCCTCATTGGCTTTCCTCATTATTTAGGATCATTCCTATGTATTAAAATACTGACTATTTCCTCCTGACTCACAAAGAAAAAAGACTGAGTAAAACTTCCTTATTTTGAATTATATTAATTAACTATTTGATCTTTGATAGTAAAATTGTTATAAAATGGTAGGGAGAGATACCAAATATTTAACCAATTTCTATAATATTCCATTATCATATTATTATTTTTATCAACATTTCACCAGAACATGCAAATGATTGTTACAACAAGAACCTTCAAGTTCTCATACTTGTTTCTTTTTTTACTTAATATAAATTTATTGAGCACTTACCATATATTAACATTAAGCTAAAAAATTGCTGTGAAATCTTTTGACTTGAAAGTAATAAAGCAACATGTATATTGCTTTAATGTAAACCCAAATATTCTAATCATCATGAAAAATTTGTAGAGAAATTAAAACAGACTAGCAAGAGAAAGTTTTCATGTTCTATGACAAGGCTATGTATTATTGCTCCTTGTTTATGTAGCTACTAAGATTGTATTTCAGTTAACTTGAAATGACTTATAAAAGGTATTTAGGCTTGCATATAAATACCTGTGAATTTAGATTTAATGTCTAAGGAAATAATATTTTCTTGAACTATAGATCTTCCGTGGAAACTTTAGCAGATGTGGGTCAATAGATGTAAAAATAATACACTGGAAGCTAGTAGTAGTGAAGAAGAGAATTCAGTTCCAAAACTCAAATTCTAAAAGTCTCTGAGTCTGGAAATTGCCTAACTGCTGAAGAAAATATGTCACTTATTGAAGGAAATGTTCTGATGCAATTAGTAATTTCAGGTATAAGAAAGATTTAAACTTCAGTGAGTTGAACAAATGAAATCTATTCATATATTCAAAGTCACCTTCAAGGAAGAATTTTATATATATCAAAATTGGACACAGGTCATTGTTTATAAGATACTCTTCTCATTAACTGTTTCACAGAATAGGTCTGAAAATAGTTTACAAAAGCAGCCCAGAACCCTATATGGCACCACAATATACTTTTAATGATATTTTCTCATCTTGGGATGGGTTTAAAGTATCGATCCAATCACATTTCCAGTTCAACAAAAAAAGAAAACCTCTACATTTCATCAAATGTATAAATAGCTCAAAGTTTAAAGATCCTATGATCAAGTAGACATTAGGCTGAGACAGTGCAGCTTTTAATAGTGGTTTACAACACAGGCAACACATAAGGATCATCTGAGTAATAATGTGAAAGAGAAGGAGATGCTTAGATGCAGGTGTTTCTAATGGATACTCAGTGTTACAAACATCTACTTTAGTGAAGTAGAAAAATTCATGAGTATACTTGATCTGAAGGATTCTTTGACCTTTGCCACTAAACTCTAGAGCTTAGTCCTAAAGATTAAAATGATAAACAGATCATGTGCCACAAATATATGCTAATGTCATTGAAATAGTCAAATTTATGGATAAGTGGGGTACTGTACTTGAGCCAAATGTCTTAATCAGGATTTCTCCAATTTGGTACTATCAAAATTTGAGACCAGATAATTTTTGCTATGAGATAATCTATGCTTCCTATACATTGGAAGACTTTTGGAAACTACCTTGTCTTCTACCCACTATTTGTTAGTTGTGGATAAAAACCTCAAGATATGCAGAAGGGAAAATTGCCTCTAGGTGACACCCACAGCACCATGGCATGAAAATTCTAGGTCAAGGTGAAACAAATAAATATGCTACTATTCCAGATGCAAAGTAGCATAGCAAAAGTATTAAAGTAGGCTCTACAAATTATACAGTGCATCATTTAATGCAGAAAAATTACTGTCACTATGTGAATTACTTGAATATATGCAATTATATTATCACCATCATTGTCCATATTATGCTCCCAAACTACCTATACAAAAAATTGTAATCAGAATGTATTTTTAAAAATGATTCATTATGTTTATAAAAACTTTATTCACAATTTCCCAGTCTTGGAAGCTGCCAAGATGTACTTCAACAGGTATATAATCTATGGTACATCCAGACAAATAGATGAAATATTAGTGCTTGAAAGAAAGGAGGGCAGAAGCCATAAAAAGACATAAGGAAATCTTCACATTTACAGCTAAGAGTTTTGACAAAGGTGCCACGAACAGTCTTCAGAAAAGACACTGGGAAAAATGGATTGCTACATGCAGAAGGATAAAATTAAATCTTTATCTATCTAGGAAAATCAACTAAAATAGATTAGCATTAACTATAAGGCTGGATCCTGTAAAAGAAGAGAAAAGTAGAGAAATGCTTCAAATTATTGGTCTATGCAAAAAGTTTAGGGAAAAGACTAAAGCACACTCAAATGTAGAAATATATGAAGAGGATTATATCCAACTAAAAAGCTTCTGCATAGCAATGAAAAAAATAAGCAAAGAGAAGAGAAAATCAATGGAAAAT